CCCCGGCAGTACTCTTTGTATGGCGTCAAAGCGATCAACGACTGGAAAGCGAACGACACGCCACCCATATTTTTTTTCGCAAACTTAAAATTCTTGCAATAAATGCCAATTTATATATTGACGCTAGCTGAACAAATAAAATAACATTTTACATTCCTTTACGTTGTTGCAAAATAAATTCGCCACTGCGAGGTATCCAAAACGCATATTTTATAAATTGGAGACGTTTTGAGAGACCGCACTACCGTATTCGCATGGGCTGCGGTATCTACAAGCTCGTGGGAGAGCACAAAAGATGACCTCATAAAGGTAATGCTTATGATAGCGCCTTACCACGCGCAGCGTAGGCCAGCCCGCCAAGCAGCTGTGTGAAGACGGCGGTCTGCCCGCAGAGCGCCCGACCTCGCCTATCGCCACGGGGAAAGTTCATTGTGGGGGCCCTCTTCAAGCGTAACGCCAGCAGGCGCAAGCCCCCATCCCCGGGGTGACGATACAGGTGAACGCGGTTCAATGTTGAATATGCTGAGTAGGGCCGGTCTCCCCGCCGAGGTGCTGACACGGTCGTGCCGTGCCCGTGCCGACATCGGCAGACGACACCGGAGTGCGGCGAGGAGCGGCAGCCCGACGCAGCGCTCACGGTGCGGTCGTGAAACGTGAACACCGGCTCCGCCATCCGCGCCCTGCTCCAGGAAGGACGCCGTCATACAGTGAGTGATAGTCGCTGGGCAGTTTTCTGTCCAGCCGGCATTCCCTCACGGCCAAGCGGAAACGGCGCCGTTGATACCACCCCATATGCAGTCTTCACAATCTCCTCAGCAGAAAACGGTGCTGGAGTGTGTTCCCACTTCTACACACCTTACAAACTCACTTGGTGCATATACGTCTGGAAACTGTAGGGGGGGGGGGGCGATTTGGTGACACTGTGACTTCTTTTTGTTGTTGATTGGGGCTTGACAAAGCACAGAAATTTGTCACGATGACATCCATTGGCGTCACTGGTCAACAGTTCGTGATATTTACGTCGCGAGGACGTGAAGTGATGTTTTCATGGCGTCGTATTACTATCAGTCAGAAAACTAAATTTTGACCATTTTGAACCGGGATGTCAAATTGACGTCATCGTGACAAATGTATGTCCTTTGGGTTATTAGACTATCGGTAACTCCCTCGCTCACAGACTGGCATCGTGGATAATTGCCAATGCCGTGGGAACGGATGAGGACAGGGGACGAGAAAGAATTGTACAGCACGCCATTGGGGAGAGGGGATGTGGACGACGGTCCCTACTGTACACTTTACATCTGCTTTGTTTTCAGACGCGAGCGCGCACTCAAAGACTCCCAGCCGCAGTCTTCCCTTCGCACTCTGGGCGCGCAAGGGTTGCCTATCCGCCGGTGTGCAGGCGCCGCAGCCCTGCCGCCGTCATGGCCGTGGTGCCATCCAGACCGCTGCCTCCGGGGATTCCCGCTGACTATAACGAGGCTCGGAGGCTGTTCGAAACAGTGACTGCGGGGTTGAAATGCAGAGACGTGATACATACCACCACCAGTACTTGCACCGGCGCCGGAGTAGATATGCTTGGCGCCTGCCTGCTTGGTTCCGTCAAGTACTTCCTCCCGTACTACTTGGTGAGCAGGGCGACTCGCAACTTTATCATCCTGTGCATGAGGCGACAAAACCGAAATGAAAACTGTCACTGTTTCTGACATCAGATCCACATCATTTGGAACGCCAGGAAGGCCATTTCGGGTGACAAGGAGTTTTATACGGACCTGGTGCACTGCTACGCGCGCTCCGTCATGTTCGGGGGTGCGATGGGGACCACTTTCAGCATCGTCAGCTGCACGCTGTCGTGAGTAATGCACGTCCCCAAAAATCCTATGCCAGGTGTGGGGTTCGAACCCACGATCCCGCGAGGGAACCAGAACTTAAGTCTGGCGCCTTAGACCACTCGGCCAACCTGGCTATCCGTCTTGCCGCGCCAATGAAGTCCGACACATTACACGAAGTGCGGGGGAAAAGAAAGGGGAGTCTGCTGCAGCGCATGCTCAGAGCTAATGCGAACCTGGCTTTGGCAGCGTTCTCTCATTCAGCACGGTGCCCGAAGCTGTGTACAAAGCTGTGTACCCCCC